TTTGCTCGTCATTAATTTCTAGTTGTAATTGGAGATGATGGACCATTCCATCTCCTTGGGACACCAAATGCGTGTCTATATCGTCAAAAAGATGCATATGTGTTTAGTTAGTTCGAGTCAAAATATTTAAATTCCATTTATATTACATTTTTAAACCTAATTATCATCTTTTGAATATTAAAGTAATTTCTCTTGTTTTTGTCTTTAAGATTTTTCACTTTGATCATATCTTAATAAATTTGTAATTTTTTTTTTCTATATATTGCATTTTAAAAGTATTAGTTATAATAATTAATAGTTATTATTTTCTCTAGTAAATTAATATTTGTACTTTTACTTTTTTATTTTTCGTAAATGTAAAATCACGCGTTTAAATTCAATTTTATTGTAACTTCAAATAGAAATTTGATAAAAATAAATAGAGAATTCAATTTGAAAAGTGCATCTRCRAATTGGACGATTYATATGTYAGGCTATTGTATCTCACTTGATTCTATAATTAATATAGTTTTCTTTTTGTTACAGGTGATCATCGTTGGATTTAACAACAAACCTTTGGGATCTTTTTCTATTTTAGTTCTTAAAATTGTTTCATTTTGAATATATGTATAATGGCATTTCTGAAGGCACACACAGATTTTTTCACTAAATTTTAAATATATATATATATATTTAAAAATCCATAATAAATATAACATTGAATACTTGCACAGGTTTAAAAAAGATTTTGAATATGTTTATTTATAAGATGTTTTATTTATTAATCTATCTGTTTCAGATTTAAGACTTTAAATGGTTTTGGTATAACGCTATGCAACTGTTAAGTTCCAGCAATGCTGTTTGTTTTTACAAATCGGTCTTCTTGATCATTGGTAGGTTTATTGTAGTTATCAATTGGCGAAAACGGCACCGTTCTTGTTGCAGAGGATTTTTATTTGTAAGATATTCTTATATAGAAAAATTTGTATTTTATTTTATCATCTAGTTATTTTTTTCCCTTTTCCTCTCTGATGAAAATTTATTAGATGAGAAATAGAGACGAATAAAGACGAGTTTCATACATCAATGTTTAATATCGAGTAGTTTTCCTTTCGATCTGCTGAGTACTACGCGTAAACACACATTCTAAATATAATACCTAAACGTGGTCCCAAAGAAGTCCACTTTGCTTTACCGGATCGTATTAACCTACTTCTTATCGATTCTCACACTGGGGTTTCTTCCTTTTTCCCCTACACATACATATTCGTACAATATAGTCAAGAAGAACATAGGCTTCTAAACGAAGAATCATACCCAATGGACATTAATCTACTTTCTTCTATTTTTCTTCCCCTTTATTTTCTTTTTTTCTTTTTTCTTCTCCCCGTCATTTTATTTCATCGTCTACACCATAACGTTAAATTACTATTTGTTTTGAACGTCAACACCTTTCTTTTTTCTCGTCACCAGGAATAAATAAACGAATTTTTTCCTACGAATTGTTATATTGAGATTTTTAATTTTATTTTATATAAAATTTTGCACAGATGGCATAGATTGTTATTCTTTCGTACAATTATTAATTCCAGACAATCGAGAAAAGATATGAAAATGAGTCGCATGAGAATCATATTATCTTTCTCGTTCTTCTACGAAATCGTTTTAACGTTCTTTGTTTAAGTACAGCGGTGGGAAAAACATATCAACGTTAATCACCATGCTCATCTCTCTCCCTCTTTCTTTTTCTCTCGTTCTATTCTTAAAGTTAAGTTCTTGATAGCGATACTATACTTTCGTCCAGGAAGTTGTCCACGAAAAATATTTACCATCCCATTTTCTTTTATACTTTCTTTGACCTCAAGATAATATCCTGATTTAGATAAAAAATATTCTTTTCTTTATTATATTACAACTCGTGCAAATAATTATTGTTTTAATAACAAAAAAAAGAAGAAATTATTTTAATGATGCATTCGAAGTTTGATTTTTTATTATAAAAACATAAATGAATATATATATATATATATATACGTGTAATTGTAATTGTAGGTAGAGATGCATGATCGAAAATCGTGAAATACTTGTATCATAATATCGAAAATAATTTTGTGTGTTGGTGTATGATAATGCTACAAGTAGTAAAGGATCATCTCGTTTATGTGTGTTAATCAGAGATGGTATGTAAATGCGCATGCGTGAAAGCTGTCAGGAACGACGGTACATTCTCGAATCTCGACGGGTACTTCTACATACCTTGTAAAGTGTTCAAAGCCAAGCTAACAGAAACCACGCATACGTAATAGACAAAGATCATCTTTTATGCACAATTTCATCTATTATTTATTATGCTTGATAAATAATAAAAAATTCAAATTTTGTAATGTTAAAACTTACTTAAATATTAACTAGCGTTAAATTTAAAATAATTCATGTTTCTTTGAGAAATTACAAATTTAGAAAGATTATAGATCAACATACAAAAATAATTATTCGAAACTAATTGCTGATCAATAATACGAAACATTACATTTCAATATGAAAACGTATTGAAAGTTTTTATGCACTATCTTCTATTTATACTATTACATCATAATAGTCACTTATCTTTGATAGATACTAAATCTTGTTATGTCAAACTATCGTAAAAATCGTTCCTTAAAATTTATTCGTCAATCTTTAAATAAGCTATAAAAAAGAAAATTATTGTCATAAAACAAGATAAGAATCTTAGTTTTTTTCTTTTATTATCTATATTACAAAAAAGCAATCCTTATTCTCATTGAAATTACAACAACAAAAGAAAAGATTTCCAATTATACATATATTATATAATTCTGCATTAATATATCGATCATATGAACGATCCTAGTAAACGTTTAGAATGAAATTATAATATTTGAAAAAAATGAAAATGTCTCCTTAATTTTGAGGATAATATCTAAGTTGGTTTTGGGTTTTGTGTTTTGGGGTTGGGTTTTAGGTTTTTGAGTTTGAAGCTTTTGGGTTTTTCAACTTCGTTACGGCCCTGAGTACTTGTGAACGTACGCGACTCACGAAGTGGGTAGCAGTCGTTCGTCGTCAGCCAAAGGATGCAGAACGTATGTTCGAGTTACCTACAATTTTTCGATTTCGATTGCATTTAAATCAATGTCACAACCGGTTAACGTGTTCCTATTTTATTGTTATTTTCATCTACGAATAAATTTTTGAGTACGTGAAAAACGCGCGGATGCGCAATATACGTTGGAAAAAGTCGCGTGCGCTAATCAAAGGAAACAACAAAACAGCAGCACAAAAAGGGAGGAATTTGGTGGTGAAGGTGGCGGAAAAAGAAAGTGACGACGACGACGACGACGACAAGGTGGAGGAGGAGGAGGAAGAGGATGAAGAGGGAGATGGGGTGGTAGGATGCTGGGCGGTGTCAGGTAAGGTCTCCCGAGACTTACCCCTTTTATTTTTTTTTTGTTTTAATCCTTGGGGTGTTAACCCACAGTCCAGAAAGACAAAAATCTTCATCTTCTTCTTTTTCTTCTTCGAGAAAGGAAACAAAACATAATAATAATAATAATTAATTATAATAATATATGTTCAATTATCTTTGTACAATATAGTTAAAAATAATTTGTTCATTATTAAAGGGAAAATGAGAAACAACGGCGACGACGACAACGTTTACCTCGGTTCGGTTAAGCTCGGTCGAGTTCGGTTTAATCTCACGAACATGACCTAACCTCTGTGTCCTACTGCGTACCCATCGTGCGCGTATTTAGACTCCTTTTTTTTTATTTTTTTTGTTTGTCTATGTTACTATTTGTTTGATCGAAATAAATACAGGTGTGAGATAGATTGCGAAAGGAAAATAAAAAAGTAAGTAAAATAAGTCAATGTATAGATATAGATTTTTCTTTCTCTTTTTTTTTTTTTTTAAAGTAGAAGTATAAAGGTGTATGTGCATTTAGGGGTGAAGTAGTAAAAGCCTTTTGTTTTCATGGTTAATACTTCGGTGGACTCGGGGGAAGTTTTAATCGATAAACGAACTGCTTGTTGCCGTTGCGGTTACCACAAAATGTGTTTTACGAAACAAGCTTGGTAAAATCTCTCGTAAGAAAGTAGTCCTTCGTAAAATAGTTCGATGGCGATGAGGGTGGGTTGAATTGGGGTGTATAGAGGGGTGTTGGTGAGAAGCCGGTTAACTCGCTTCGTTAAGTTTGCAAGACGCTAGCTACTTTTCACTCTCTCCCCCTCTCTCTTTTTCTCTCTTTTTTTTCTTTTTGTTTGTTTTTTTCACTCTTTTTCTGTGCATTTCTCTATCTCTTTACATTCGCGCTTCTCTCAAATCAAGTACTACTTCTTCTACTTCTTCTATTCTTCTTTATTTTTTCTTCTTTCCTTTTCTTCTTCTTCTTATACTTATACTTACAACACAACCCTTTTTTTCTACCCCTACTGTCTTTCTCATTTGAGTACAATCTTGTAGAACGTTGACCCTTCTTAATTCGTTTCTAGTACTTAGTCAGTATTCTCTTATAAAACCGACATTGTGGTAGATGATATTTTATGTATATATATACAGAAAGAGAAAGAAATAAAGAGACATATAATTTTCTTTTTTTCCTCCTTTTATTCTTTTTATTTAGTCCGTACAAAAGTGTGAGAGAACTACAAACAGACCTTTTTTATTCACTCGTGATGTTTTGTGAATAAAATATATTTGTTATCGTCATGGTTATACATCGAAAATGGTTTTATACTTTGTGTATTTTCATACGAATTACATATTGCAAACGGTTAGGCAACTGATTTGCACTCAAAAGGTTAAAAGTTTGATATTTTTTATAATTGCATTGTGAGATAAATTTTGTTCATTTTTACCTTTTTCTATACGAGCGATTACAGTTGTTTCATAAACGTGGGTGTAGTCAAACAGAAAAATCTGCCTATAACGAAAGGGTTAAAATCCCAACAACAACGTTAACAGTAAGATTAGTATTTTATATTTTATTTTATACAATTTTATTTTTTTTTTCAAAATCCCTCCCAATATTCTTGTGCACTCAACCAAAGTGTGATTTATTATCTCTCGCGATGCGTGCCATATTGTAACGTTGAGGAATTAAAAAAAAAAAATAAAATAAAAATAATAGCGAATAAATAAAAAAAATAATCGACCATTTAAAAAATAAAATAATCGGTATGAATGTGATAATCTCAGCATTTAATAAAAATAACAAGAACAAACATTTATCCATTTTTCGAATCCCCCTTTTGATCAACAATGATAAATTTCACTCTGTTTTATTTAGAAAAAAAAATCTTTTCTATATTGAAGTAACGATAAAAAAGAATAATGTATACCTTTACAAACTCCTTCCTTCGTTATCTGATATATTTTAATTTATAATTTATATTCTTTTAGATTAACTCAAGAAAAAGAAAAAAAGTGAGTGTTATTTTAATGAATAAAGTTAATCGATAAGCAAACTTAAAAGCAGTGTGCGTTGAGATCTTTTTTGTTTAGCTAATATTTATTTTCTCTCTCTCTCTCTCTATCTTTCTTTAACCGTTTGAGAATATCGTAAAAAAAAAGTGGAAGTTTAAAAAATGCTCTCCACTTTGCCGGATATCGATCTCGTTATTGTTTTCGAACATTTCATTCGGATCAAGAGTACGCTTGAGAAGAGTTGCTGCTGCATTTCAACTTTATTTCATTTCGATTCACATTTCACCTTTGACTTTTTTTTTTAACCGATAAATGCTCAAACAAAAAATTAGAGCCTTATATGTATCTTTCAATGTATTAAAACATGTTTTAAATGAATTCAATGTCAAGTTAGAGAGAGAGGGAGAGAAAGATACATTTGAATGAACAAAAAATATAAAATAATATAATAAATAAAAAATAAAACAATTGTTGATTTATACGAATTTTCAAATTACAATTATGAGGATTTTGTTCGATTTGCAGAAAGTTTATTAATTAAATCGAAAAACCGCAAATCTGGCGAACCTGGGGAATCTCGCGAGTTGCGTTTCTACGATGATAGACGACGAGGAACAAGAAGAGTTACGTTGTACCGGAAGTGACGTTGAAATAGAGGAATACACGGATACGGAAGAGTCACCGTATGTTGTCGGTGCTGCTTATCGTACCAGTTCTGAAAAAATTTTCGATAAAAGTAGAGCTACATGGCAAAAATGTACCTTTCTAATCACCCTATTTACCGTGGTTACATCCGTAACAGTTCTTGTTATCGGTTTTCCACTATATCTTGAAAGCATCAGTGCCGTATCTAATGGTTACACTGGTAAGTTCATATATATGTGTGTCGTCTGTGCAATTATATATTATATATTAATATGATAAATCTATTTACTTATAAACTTCAATATAAATGAAATATTTGATCATACATTTATCATATGGAATTAACTTATAAAAGTTTTACAAATAATGATAAGTACACGAATAATATTGAAATAGATATAGAATATAATATTTTAGTTATTCTCAGGGATATTTTTTTTGTTTACTCTATCTTGAAAATGATGGTGTCATTTTTTTCTAACGTTTATATAATACGATAGGTATGATGGATGATCATATAGTATTTTTATCGACAACTTTTGAAAGGGTTTTCAAATTGTATGCATGAAAAATATATGTTCGTGTAGACGTAACTTTTTTATAAAAAAAAAAAGAAGAAAAATACTTTTCGTTATCGATTATTATCTATTTTTTTTTTCAAGTTAAAGCATCGTATGCCAATGTGCATGTCTGATCATTCATTTTTATCAGGTGTAATTTTTTGTTCTAACAACATTCTAATAAATATGAATAATGTTTAAAATAGATATACTTATAAGATTTATCATCTCGTTATCTGAAGATTTATAAACGCGAGATCACTGACCGTAAATAATGCAGCTTACCCAGGAGAATGAAGATTTCTTATATATATAATATAATAGATAAATTCTCATAGTAAGGACCTTGTTAGTATGAAAAATATATCTTCTTTTTATCAAACAAATTGTCGGTAAAAATGAATTTTTATTCTTGCAATGATGAAATACAAAATGTATAAAATATCATCCTATGCACTAAAGTAATTTAAGAAAGAAAAAAAAGAATTACATGAATTATTTATATAATTCTTGAAAATATAATATTATATTTTTCTTAGGTCTTCTCTTCAGTGCTTTCGGTTCTGCTTGTATCCTCGGTTTCGTTTACTTCGTAAACGATAAAATTTCTCCACCTCCACCTTTGGTACCAAATTCTATGAGAATAAGAATACCACGTTGCATGCTTATCAAAATAAGCACAATTTATGCACTTTCTGGTATTCTCGTTGCCCTATCACTCGATCAAAATCGAGTTCTTTGTCATCTGCAGGATCCTATCAAAGGCATAACTCTACTTTTCTCTCTGGTTTATTATTTCTTCTTCTCTCGCAAAAGTAAGGAGATTACAACACGCATTTATTTGAAAAATCAATCACAACAAATAATTTCAATTATTTTCCAAATAATTGTAAAATATTAACAATTTTTTTTTAGTGATGAGCCTTCAACGAATATTTGCAAGCACTACGATAATAGTAGGACTGTTTATAAGCGTTGACTATGGTCTTTGCGATGAATTTCGTTGTAGAGGAAGAGAAGTGTCAGCTCATACAGCAACGATGAGAGGATCCTGGGGGGTCAGAGCTGTCTGGACGTTCGTTTACGTTGGTGCACTTGCCGCTTTTGCCATGTTCTTCACAATGCTCGAGCGCCATTATACGACTGGGGTAAATTTCCGAGATTTTTTTTTCTTTCTTTTTAATTACTCCACCCAATTATAACGTTGCTCATTTTTTTCTCTCATTCCAAACTATAGAGACATTTTTTTTCAATGAAAATATGAAAAATTAGATGCTATTTTTAATAATTAATTACAAGTGTTTAAGAAAAAAATGAATCTATCGAAATATCAGTTTTAAAATGATACAACTCATAGAATTTTGTTTCAACAGCAACAACACATTTGTCAATTATTGACAACACAACCAAATTCTTTTCTTTACACCGTATCACGTTTGGTATCTTCTCGTGACATTCGACGAAGAGGATCGGAAGAGGAAGGTGGAAGATTGTTACACGTTACAGATCCGGATCCAACGATAAAGCCCAAAAATTATCCAAAACCGCCAATACTTCAGACTCTTTTTCACGTACATGTGATCACATTTTTTGCGATTCTTACATTGTGTTGGTTGGATACGTTGCCTGGCATTGGTAGGGTAAGTATCATAAATGAAAATAAAAAAATAACATTTAAATATGTTATCTCAAGAATTGATTTTTAAACAAAACTTATATATTATTATTTATAATAGTAAAATAACTTCATGGAAATGTGATTTTTGCGTGCTCATGCATTTGAGTTGTAGAACAAGAAAGATCAATGTTTTTCTACAAAATTTAAATAAATATAAGATTAATATTGAGTGTAACGTTGTTTAACGTTGTTTAACGTTGTTTAAGGGACTTTCACCAGTCGACTTGTACCGTACCGTTGAACACGGTTTATCCTGCCACTTTAAAACAGTCGACTCTTGCTCAAACGTATCCAGCCATGCTTGGATTTGTCTATTAGCTTACGTAGTATTTGTAATATCGTCCCTTAACTTTCTGTCGATGTGCGAAAGTGCAGTCTTTACTGTCGCTGCAGCTACAGTTTCTCTTCCTCTCTCTGGCATTTGGTGGAGTATTTACAAAATGAACGTTAGTGCTAACGGCGGTGAGTTTATTAAACTTCAAATACACATATATACAAGTTAAATTTAACTATTAGAACAATGTTTCAAATAAGGAAACTTTCGGTTTCCTATTTTAGTTTTTGGTAAGTTTCAATTATTTATTTTAAAATATCAAAATAATGTGCCGAATTGTTCGATTCGGATCTATAACTATCAATTATTATATTTTAATAAATTGAAATGTCCTGTTGAAATAGGTTTTATCGTATGGTCACCTGGAGTAACAGGCGAATTAATTTGCGCATTACTTGGTCTTCCCGTTGTACTTCTTGGTTTGGGTTTACTCGTCAGATCTCACTTCAGGGATACTCAAGCTTTTTATCAAACTATACAACCACCTGATATACAACGTGATTGTCACAGATAAATCCTTCCTAAGGTATTGGTATCTTTTTCACGCACATATATATATATATATATAAAGTGCATCAATAGTAAAGAAAAATAAAAAAGATAATAAATCGATCTGTAAACATACGCACACATACGACGATTATCTTACGTCTTACAATTTTTTGAAAAAAAAAAATATTTAAAAAAAAAAGAAAGGAAGAAAAAAAATGGAAGGAATGATGAAAATGGTTCTACTGTTAATTAAAAGTGGATCGATTTTTCCTATCTAACGCCAAACACATAAGCAAAAGTATCCGTCGAAGCCGCAGAACGTTATTGCTAGTTTATATTTTATTTTGATATAACGAAACATTCTGAAGGAAAAAATAAAATGAAGAAGAACAAAAATATATATATATATATACTATATAGAAAAAACAATAAAAAAGAAAGATAGAAAAACAGGAAAAAAACAGTGAGAAGAGCAGAAATATATCTAGTGAAAGTAAATATAAAAAAAAAATACAAAAAAAAATTACAAAATAATAAGACGACAAAAAAAGAAATAAGGAGGAACTACTTTTGTAGGAAATAAAACAAAATAAAAAAATATTATGCACGGCTCGTGTGTTTCTAGCAAAACTGAAAGTTTCGTACTTTGATGTACCTTTAGATTTCACGTTTTTCTTTTCGCAGTATATATGTAATACATATATATTATATAAACATATATAGAATATATTATAATATACACATAAATATATATACATATATATATATATATATATATTCGTTTGAATATAATAATAATAATATAGCATTGACTGCGCAAAGCGCATAAGAAGAGTTGTTCGCTGAAGAAAAAGTATTTTTTTATACGGATAAATTTTTTTAAAAACCGCTTCTTCTTCTTCTTATCTCTATATATTATTATTAGAAAGAAAAATTCTTATTGGATGTTTCCACAGAGACCAGAAAAAAAATTGTCAAAAAAAAAAAACAAATGTAGAAGTTTTAAAAAGGAGCTTTGCTAAAACATTTGCTAAGGTAAAACGAACGAAGAAAAAGAGAAAAAAAGAAAATAAGAAAAAGCATTTAAGTATATGTCGACGAAGCAATTAAACTATTTTATTACCGTTCTCATGCCAGGTAGAAAAAACATGAAGTCGCAGTTAGCTTAACTGAAAAAAAAAAATAAAATAAAAAATACTAAAAAGTGGATATAAAAAACGATTTATCTATTTTTGTCTGTTTTTCTTTTTCTTTTTAATACTTTCTTATTTTCTTAAAGATAAATTTTTATTTGACAGTATTAAAGTGCATAACATCGTTAATTATTATATTGTTTCGTTATGTGTGTTGTTATTCGTTTATTTATTTGAAAAAGAAACTGTTAATATTATCTTTTTCTTTTACGTACACGTTACGTAATTACATGTACAAAATCTAATCATTCTAATTGTGATATTTTCTTACGTTTACAAATATTATTATATGTTTATCTTTTTTGATAATTTTATTTTATTTCAGATAAAATATAACATAGCAAATAAAAAGATATAATGTTGTGTTTTACTTGTATGTATTTAATTTTGATTTTAGAAACTAATATCAAAAGAAATCAAATCTCTTTAAAATCATTTCGCGAATGAAACTAACATAATTACGTAATAGAACGAAGGGTGAGTATGGAAGTGAAATAAGCGAACAAAAAAACAAAAAAGAAATAAAATATATTTAATATATTTGTGCCAAATTTTCCAAGTTTTCCGTATATAAATTCGAACGTTATATTAAAATATATATAATATATAATATAATATATACTCATATATAGGAAGTGAGAGAAATATAAAATAAAAAAAAAGTATTTCATTAGTCTTACGTACGTAATATAATAAAATAACGATATGTTAATAATATTTTAATGTCATTTATCTGTGTCAGCTTATACAATGTAATAACGAAATAAATAGTTTGTTGAATGTATGTTAAATCGATTAAACGTTAGAAATATAAAATTATTAATAATAATAATAATAGTTTATAAGTGAAAAAAAGAGAGTGAAAGAGGGGGTGTAGGGATGGAGAGATAATTATTCATTGTTGGAAGTATTGTATTTACATTAATCATATTTTAATGGGTAATAATCCTATATACGTCCACATTTTTACAATTACAAATAATAAGCGCATTCCATTGACGCCAAAAACAATAAACTTGAAAACACACGATAAAAGAAAAAAAGAAAAATAAAGTGAAAAATTAAAACAACTAATAATACTCAAGAATAAAACGATTAATAAAAATATTTAATATAATAATAATAATATTAACATTTAATAATAAGGATGATGAGGTAATAAACGTTTGTTAATTTCGTAACATTTGAACATTAAAGTATTAAACGGAAAAGAAATCACAATCCTAACTCAAATAATGATGATAATAACAGCTTGTAGAATAAGTAAATTGCACTCGAGAAACAGGTATATATAATCATTTAAAAAAGTGTTGGTTTATTAGAAATATATGAAACGTAAATCGAAGTTATTGATCTCTAATTATGATGTGACATAAAAGATTCGTATTAAAATATGTGAAAAAAATAAGATTATATATGTATATAGATATAAGTAATGTTTTGATGATATATTTATATAATAATAAATAAATATATGTATAACATGTATGTGATATTGGAACAGTTAAGTGCTTGGATATCGAAACGTAGAAATACGTCGTAATAACATAAGAGAGTGGCTTCTGAAAATGATTTGTTACAAGAAAATTTAGATAAATAAATTTAATAAAAATAAAAAAAAAAAAAATAAAAATAGCTGCCAAGAAAAATATGAGAAAAAAATTAATTCGTAGTAATTATCAGAGAGCCACGATCTTTTTGTAATGTTTTATTAGCAAGAAATAATTTTAAAAAAAACTTGCAGTACAATTTGTATCATTCGTATAATGTAATTTATTATAAATTATAGTTTTCGTACTTAACAATAGGCAAAAATTAGCAGGAACCGCTCGGATATAAATATATACACACAAATATTTAAAAAGGAAAAAAAAGAAATTGTAATAAGCGTTTTTAATAAAAATAACTTTCTGAAATTCACATGTATTCCGATCTCGTCAAATTTGTTGTTTTAGCCAATTAAATTATATTCTAAAAAAAAAAAAAAAAATAAATAAATCAATCATTTAAAGCACGAAAATAACAAAATGTATATAATTATAATATCTGTACGGTTTCTTCGCTAAGTATTTTAAACGTTTCTCGTTTTTAATCGATCAAAATTACTCGATGTCAATGTAATCGATAGCATGCGCTATAATTGGCGATTCGGTTTTTTATAGATTTGCGATATAATCGAGAAAACGAATTTAATAAAGATACACGAAATGCAAGGTTGGCCTACGAAACTCTTTCAAAATAACAGAATTTTCTTTTTTGCCAAAATTATTTTCATTTAAATCTTGCGATTAAAAACATTTATTTTAATATTTGTATTAAAAAAAAAAAAAAAGCATTAACTCACACTAGAAGGAAATAATTGATTTTTTTAAACGATTTTAAAAATACTTTAGGACCACCTTGCATAATCACATATTAATTACCAAGATAATGTGTAAAAGAATGAAAGGGGAGAAAAAGAAAAGAAGAAAAAAAAATACTTAAAAATAAGAATTGCCATTGCGCTTCATTCAGATTGACGCTTTAATAAATAATGTTACTATATATATTTAGCCAGCGCGCGATCAACAGTGCCGTATAATTTATATACAAGGCGTCTTCCTAAATAAGATACAATATTTATGGTAGAAACGTATGAATATCTATGAAAATAAAAACCGAAAGAATTAAGAATTTCCAATTTGAAAAAATGGATATTAGAAACGAAGAAAAGTTAAGATTAGGTATAGTAAAGAATACGATGTAGAATAAAATATAAAAAAAAAAAAAAAAGAGAAAAAAAATGGAAAAAGGAAAAAAGGAAAAAAAAACAACTATTAATTATCGTTTACCATTTAAAAAAATATTCACAAATATTCATGATTAATAATAATATAAACAATGTTTGTGCCTTTTCGTTTATAATTTAAAGGCAACCAATATAACCCTTTTATGATTACTATCTATCCTTTCTGACATTTTTTTACCATTAACCGTATAATCTTCGTACAACAATTCGGCTAAAAATTCACCACCTAGTTTTTCACCTATACGTATAGAATAATTCGAGGAATAAACAGCAATAGCTACGTTTGGCATAGCATTTTTCAAAACTATGTCCCCACCCATCGAGATTTTTTGAATTTCACCTTTTTGCAACATTTTTCCTAATGTTAAACTAGATTTTGTTAATCCAAGACCGATTCCACGTTTACGATATTTTGTATCGACTGCGATGTAAAACATTTCCAATATTGCATCGGTCTCATATTTTTCGAATAAATTCACCGTTGATTCGAACTAAATAAATGAAAAATAATATTAATAAATAAATGATAGATTAGACAGGAAATAAAGAAAATAAAACATAAAAAGAAGTTACGAAATAATATTGAAATTTTTCAATGATTTCAAATTTATGATTTCATTTAATACGTGTGTTATATTAAAAATATAATTATATATATATATATATATATATAATTGTTATTTATTGGATTAATATTTTATTAAAGTACTCACATTATTGAGAAAACGTGTAAGCTCGATACAAGAACTATGCTTTATATTTTGATTCACGAATTTACCGAGTTCATCCTCTTCTCCTTCTTTCAAAGGAATCTTCAAATAAAACAAACGGTATTATCTTATTAAGATTTTTTTCTTGTTTTCTTTTTTTTTTACCTTATCAATTGGAAATAAAAATAAAAAGAAACGTCTATCTTTTCTACATAAAGAAAATTAACTCAACTTTGCATCGAGTTAACGTAAGTGAAGACAATTAGGGACAATTGGTCTTTTTAATCCCCACTCCTTGTTCTTGCAATTATTAAACCAGTGTTTTTTTAACATTTTCCAACACACTTTCTCATTAATAATTTTACGTTATTATATAATATTTGAGTTAATAAATTCTCGAATATTTTTTTTTTAACTTGGTACGCAATGTAAAAATCAATATATTAAAGTAATATATATATATATATATATATATATATAAATAGTATTATATAAAAATTAGTATACTTGCATGCATTTTATTGAATATCACCCCAGTCATTTCTTTCGTTTCACTTTCTAAAGCTATTATAGAAATTCCATCTTTAACAACTTCCTTAAAAATCAATTGCATTTCCTCAGGTGCACCAGGTTCTTCAAACATACCCATTCCTATAGCAATATTTTCATGTACCATCGTACTAGCTTGAATACGTAATGCATCATCTAATTTATCTTTTGTTAGTAATACATAATCGATTCCACTTTCTTGTAAAATTAATTGGGATTCCATTTTTCCAACAGTATTATTATTACACGACTCGCGAGAAAATGGTACTGCGTTCAATTAATATAAGAAGTGCAAAATACCCACCCACCCCCTTCTACATATGTGCTGCACGATAAAATATATAAAGTTTATATTTAATTTTGTGTTTTTATCTCACGTCTCTCGTTGTGTTGTCGTCGTTGTTAAAAAAAAATTCTTTTTATAAATATTTAAGTTTACAGATAAGATTTATAAGAGTTATCACGCGATATCTTGCATTTGTTAAAGAAGACGAGCTTACTTGGAGAATAGCTTTCAAACAACTGAACTTAATTCGATCTTACTACCAAGAAATGTTATAGTTGTGTGAGCGTGTACATCATACATGCAAAACGCCTACGCTTCAATATATTCTACTTTGTAAATCTGTTATTTATGCATTTAATATTTACAAGCGAACATGTTTCCGTGATAATGCTTATATCATTATTTAATATCGTTGATAACGTTAATCAAATATTTTCCTTTTATATAATTTAATTAAATAAATAACTATATATGTATTAATGTGTACGAGAATATATTATCTTTCATTGTGATAAGAATAGAATATATATATACAAATAATATAATATAATTATTGTTTTGTAAAATAATTTTATTTGAAAGAATACATAAATTATGCTTTTATTAAAATAATGACCTCTATTAAAAATGACAATTAGCTTAATATTTAAATACGTGTTATATGTATAAATGTATATATGTAGCTTATAGTTACTGTCATCATCAACGAAAATGTTTCCATATTCGTATCGACGTTACACAAGTAATATATTATTCCCTGGTACTATACACAGTATATCTCCTCGATGCTATTACGTAAAGATTCTAGTTAACAGGTGAATCGATAGTTTTGTCATACGTTTTACTATCGTTTCAAATAAAAACATATCTTTCAAGTATGTTCTATTATATTATTTTACTTCTTTTTATGACATTAAATTAAAAATAAAAAAAATAATAAAATAAGATTTCTATTCTAAAATCGTAATAGTCTTTTATAACAACTTAACAGTTTTATTGTGGTTGTAGTAATTATTATGCAAATAATTTCAGTGGTAGAAAAATATGTTTATGAAATTCTTTTAGTGGCCAAAACGCAATATTTCTCCTCCTTATCAAGTATCTCGCTATATTTCTTACCGTCATATTCAAATTTATCGAAACTGACTTCTAACAATGTTTCAAAACCCAATTTCCTACCAATTTTTTGCGAATAAATCGAGGTAAAAATAGCTGAAATTAAATTTGGTACTGCATCGTAATTATTTATAGAATTATTATCTTTAACCGAAACAGGAATTTTCACTTGTTCTCCGCATTTCAATTTTCTACAAATTTCTATCGCAGATGATATCAATAGTTCTCCTATTCTACGTTTAGAAAATTCCGGTAATACCGCTATAAACATTAATTCAAAAATGCATTTAACGTTGTAGTGTTGAAAGAGATTGTAACTCGCATCAATGTCTATCATGAAATCGACCAATGCTTTTGAAGATTTGCATTTACAAGTTTCACTGAAACGTTCGAATGAACTTTTTTCTTTTCCATTTCCAGGAAGCTAAAAAAAAAAAAAAAAA